ACCTGCAGGCGACAGGCTTTCCGACTTGAAGTCGGTGGAGCTCCGCTGATGCTTGGCCTGAGCTGTGAGGTCCATGCTCTGTGGCTCATGGGGGGCTCCTGCTGGGACCCAGAGGTCGCCACTGAAGGTAGTGCATTGTCTCCTCCCACGACGCCTCCCCTGTGCTGACTGCTCGCTTCTCTGCCCCAGGGGACCATCAGCGTCGGCATCGATGCCACTGACCTCTTCGATCGCTATGAGGAGGAGTACGAAGATGTGTCCGGCAGTGGCTTTCCGCAGATTGAAATTAACAAGATGCACATATCCCAGTCCATCGAGGTACAGCGCACAGGCGCCCTGAGTGCAGTGGCTGGGTTAACGAGGGAGTCCTCCCGGGTTTTCTCGCCTTTATTTAGGAAAGGATTCAGTGAGCCCCTGAGAAAAGAGAGCTGTAGCCCCAGCCTGTGTGTGACTGTAGCCCCAGTGCCGGCAGAAGCTGGGGATCTCCAGGGGCCTCTCTTTGGTCTAAGGGCTCAGGGCGTTCTGTCTGGAAGTGCAGTGGCCTGGGAGCCAAGGTCATGGTGGTTCTGGGGGTGAGCAGACCTCGTGGGCAGTTCCAGGGACCGGTCCACACTCTTCCGTGCTGAAAACACAGTATTCAGCGGAGCCCTGGCAGCACTGAAATGTCGTGTGTCTGCCCACTGTTTGGATGTGGCAGTGCCAGGCCAGTCTACTGAGGGTACAGTGGGTCTCTGCTTCTCATCTCATTTGTTCTCAAGCGCATCAGCCCAGAACCTGAAGGCCTAGCTCAGTCGGCAGGGCCACGGGAAGGCACAGAGCAGGCTGCTGCCGTGGCCACGCTGAAGGCCAGCGCCGAGCTCGCTGCCTCCCTGGTTTTTGACATTTGCCCATTACCGCTTTTACAAGCCGTGACCTTGGGGGCCACATGCTGTTCAAATGGCGAGGAGGGGAGAAGGGAAGCCTCCCTGCACCCCTGACAGTGGGGTCGCCTGCACTGGGCCTTGCTCTTACGAGGCGTTAGGCTAGTTCCTGGGCTACTGCCCTGGGCACTCCCTGTTGCTTGGACTCCTCTGTCACCAGCACCTGTCATTTCCTAGGCGCCCTTGACAGCAACGGACACAGCCATCCTCTCCGGAAGCCTCTCGACCCAGAATGGGAACGGAGGGGGTTCCATTAACTTCGCGCTCAGACGGGTCACCTCTGCGAAGGGATGGGGAGAGGTGAGCACGTCAGCTGGTGGGCCATGTCCGTCCCAGAGACTGACTTTTGAACATTTACACTAAAAGCTGACCCTCCGATGACCTAGGCTGGCCTTATCGCTGTACAGGGTACCAGGTGTCAAACTTAACAAGGTAACTTCCCAAGAGAAAAACGTCTCCGATCCGAGAGGGAACCCCGACTGCCGAACAGCTCAGAGTCAGGCCGAAGCAGCAGATTCCCGGAGACGCCCACTTCCAGAAAGCGAACCTCTGGAACTCGGCGGCTTTGTTCCCTTTAAGCAAAACCTGTAGGCTAGTTCGTTTCCCACACAGTCAGAAGGCAGTGCCTGGTCCACTGGTTGCAGTCATTTAACAGCCAGCTCCACCGAGCAAATTGAACGGCACCAAATTAACATTGAAGAGTTGCCTTGAAAGTCACCCGGTCTAGTAAATGAGGCAGCCAGGGCTGGCAGCTTCCAGGCTGTGCGTCAGAACCGCTCATGGGTCTAACGCCAGGCCTCTGAGAACCATCGCCAGTCACCCGAGACCTGTGGGTGGCGAAGCTGAGCGGAATGGAAATGCGGATGGCCCTGCGAGGGCGGGGAGGACCCCACCGGACTGCACAGCAGGCGCTCTGCAGACACGGGGCTGGTCTCCCCTGCCTCCCTCAGCTGGGGGGAGGGCAAAATGCAGATGGCCCTGCGAGGGCGGGGAGGACCCCACCAGACTGCACAGCAGGCGCTCTGCAGACACGGGGCGGTCTCCCCTGCCTCCCTCAGCTGGGGGGAGGGCGGAGCGGGTTCCCCTGGAGGGAGGGGCTCCTTTCTGAAACACGCCTCAGTGGACAGGCATCTCCGTCTGGCAGAGGCCAGGGTGGGACAGTGAGTCTGCAGCCCCTGCCTTGGGAGCCCTGCCGAGGCCCGTGCACGGCATCGGGTGGAGGAATCGCAGCGGTGCCGGCCTGAGACCTGGGCTGCTGCTGGGGATGAACCAGCTCTAACGCTTCTCTCTTTCCTTTTCTGAACAGTTAGAATTTGGAGCTGGGGATCTGCAGGGGCCTCTCTTTGGTCTAAAGCTGTTCCGTAACCTCACGCCCAGATGGTAAATATACAGAGATTAACCCTCTTTGAGGCCTGTGTGGATTGGAGAACAGAGGCTATGTGATCTCTTTGTCAAGGTCATCTGGATTTGCCGGCTGCCCTGCGGGTCACTAGGCAGGCGCTGAGGCTGGGCGAGTAGGGTGCACAGAGCCCTGGTGGGCCTGCTCTGCCCGGTGGTCTGCAGTCCTCTGGGGCTGTGAGGACCCCAAGACTGGGGAGAGGTGCCTTCATAGGGACATTGGTTAGCGCCTGGCACATTCATGAGCTCAGGCACCATTTCTTTGTCCCCGAGAATGAGGGTAAAGCTCTGAAAGCAGCCCCGTGAGCAGTGGAGCTCGGGAGACCCCTGTCTGGAGCAAAGGCGCCAGAGCTTTGAGCCCTGGGCCCCTGGTGTCACATTTAAACTCCCTCCCTGTCCCTCTGGAGCAGCAGGGGTGTCCTCATCGCGCTCACTCGGGGGTACTGTGAGCTCAGATGAGGATGGAGGGGAAGGTAAACTAGCTCTTTCCTCGGTGGTGACGTAGCTCCAGGAGGCCTGGGATGGGAGCTCGCTCCAATGGGGCGGTGACGGCCACACTGCAGGAGAGACCGGCCCTGCTCTGGGCTCTGTAGTGAAAGCAGCTCTGCAGGTCCGTCCCACACGGAGGGGAAGGGGAGTGGGAGCTAGAGGAGTCACCCAGGGCAGGAGAAGAGCACAGTGTGGGAAGATGGGCGCGGCCTGGGCAGAGAACGCAGGGAGGGGCTCCAGGCTCCCGATAGCCTATCAGTATAACCCGGCTTCCCCCACCTCTGCTCTAGGACTTGGACCAGGGTCTGGGAAGGGACAGGATTCATACTTTTGTTAACGTAAAAAATCATTGAAACCTGTAAAGAATTTTTGTGAGTTTGTTTGAGCCAAACTGTCACCATATGCCGGGAAGCAGAACCTCAACGAATTGAGATAATGCGCCGGAGAATGGCAGGTTACATCCGTATTTATACATTGCAGTCAAAGGAGGGGCGTAGGTGGGTTTCATGAAATCCATTGGTGATAGACTAGAGCCAGCAAAGTGGGCTTGGGATTGGATAAAAAGTAAAATGATAGACACATGCTTAGGTGGGTGCAGGAACAATTAACATGATAATGAAGGAATTTGTGGCATTTGTCCTGGTGTCCAGCACATTAGGTTGTGCCCCAAGGGGTCCAGAAAAGGGGAAGTTACAAGTGACCCAGACATTTCAAGGGTGTGTTTAAAAAGACACATAGGCTTAGTTAGGGTAAAGGTTGACCTTGTCAGTGAAGATACCGGCCTAGGCTATAACTACCCACCATCACTGCTTTTGTTAAAGTGTAATTTCAGACCATCCTTTGTGGTGACTGTAGGTCTCTGAGTTTGCAAAACTGCCACGCAGGCCTCCCCTGAGCTTGTCAGGTCAGCATGTGGTCCCTTCGGTCCACACTTTAACCAGAGCATCGGGCGAGCAGTGTCTATGTGCATGTCTGCATGGCCCCGGCCTCGTCTGCCTAGGGTTGTCACCTCTGCCCCAACCCCCCATTTGAGCGAGCAGAGCAGTGCGTTCTGAAGATCGGACACGTGAGGAGACACTTGAAGAAAATCCATCGGCCATTTCTAGTTGAGCCTCCAGATGTGCACAGAGTGGGCACCAGGGTCTGGGGCTGGTTTTGCAGGTGTGGAAACGCCAGCACAGCCTCCAGGTCAGCAGACCTGAACGGAGATTCGTAAGGAGGACCCTGGGTCGTCAGTGTGCAGGGTCCGCTCTGAGGGCGCCCTCATCCCAGCTCAGCCTCCCTGTGAGTCCAATGAGTGATCAGAAGTACGTTGTGTGGAATCGGCCCTAGAAAGGCAGCCATGTCTACGGAGGTTCGCGGTCTCTCCCAGGGTCTGTCTGTCTCTAGGACGTGCTGGGTGAAGATAAACAGGGTCTCGCTCTGTATATTTTGGTTCTTTTAAATGTCACTGTGTCCTCTGTCTTCAAGTCCAGAGGTGACTTCTCTCTCCCTGCTTACTCCCCGGTGGACTAAAGCAGGAAACGTAGCCTGTGGGCGTGACGTGAGGTTAGTTTGGGCCTGAGGAGGGCAGAGCTCAGTCACGTGGCTGTGGGGAGCCATGGAAGTCTGAGAGGACCGAGTGTGACCAGTTGCCACATTTGTTATTTTAATGGAAAAAGGGACGCCTCAGCTTGGGAAGAAGAGAGACACTAAATTTAGGCAATCTAGGGCCTGCGGCTGGCTGCGAAGGCACCCTGTTTGCTCCCCCTTGGAACACCTTCAGTCAAATGGTGTGAATTCCTTTGCGTCGGACATGAAATACCCCTTTTTAACCAGAAGGTGGGGCTGGCTCCCTGGGAGCAAGCTGCAGAGGCCTTTCCTGGAATGGCGTGCTGTGCGGGGCGCTGGCCTGAGCCGCAGCCTGCACCACACTGTCATTGTGACACTGGGGAGATCGCAGGAACCGGACTCCTGTGTGTGTCAGTCAGCCTGTGGGAAAGCTGGTTTCGTTATCCGTCGTGCAGCTTAAAATCACAGGACCTATGGAGGACACTGAGGGAGGGCTCGGGCACCAGCTCCCAAGTAGCTTCAGTCCGTGGGCGGCCGTCAGCATCCCGTGGGCAGGCTTTGCATGCCTGGCCCCCCGACATTCCGGCTGAATTGGTCTGGGTGGGCTCGGGGCAGTGGTTCTCAAACTGCTGCAGTGAGTCACCTGCAGCTTTGAACACTCCACCCAGAACACCTGGCAGGAGACTCGAGGTGAGGCTGGTGTGCGGCCTCCCAGGCAATTCTGACTTGCGTGGGCCTGGCTCCCTGGCTGGGAGCAGGCGTCAGTGCCTCTCTGGGGGCTGAAGGGGGAATGGGGGGGTGGGGGGTGTAGACCAGCAGGGTGACAGCGGGAAGATTCCATTGAGTCGCCCTCTGTCTCCCTCTTACAATAGAGGCTCGGCCTCCTGCTCTCCGTGCCGGGGGCTGGCCCGGGGTCATGGGCATGCCATGAGCGGGGTCTTAGCAGGGAGGAAGGGGCTGGGAACAGCTGAGAGCCGGCGTCATCCAAGCCCTTTCTGTCTGTCCGTGTGTCGTCGTCGTCCCCCCCCGCCCCCAGCTTTGTGACGACCAACTGTGCGCTGCAGTTTTCGTCCCGGGGGATCCGGCCTGGCCTCACCACTGTCCTGGCTCGGAACCTGGACAAGAACACCGTGGGCTACCTGCAGTGGCGGTGGGGCATCCAGTCGGCCATGAACACGAGCATCGTCCGGGACACCAAAACCAGCCACCTGACCGTGGCCCTGCAGGTGAGGCGCGTCCGCCCGCTCCCTCAGCCCCGCTCCCTCAGCATGCCCCTGGCAGCCCTGCCCGAATCTGACCACCCTGGGGAGCTCGGGGGCGGGTCCTGGTCACTCCCTCTCGGGGGCTGAAATGCTGCTGTTCTCAGGTTCCCAGGGTAGCTGTGTCCAGTATCCTAAAGCGGGGGGGAGGGGGACACCCCAGGTGGGCAGGTGACCCAGAGCAGAGCTGTGCACTCAGATGCCACTTCGGCTGGGCAGGGAGGTGAGACAGGCTGCCCCTCAGAGGCAGCTCTCACCAGCTGCTGCCATGCAGGCTCGGTGCTAGAAGTTGTTCTCATGAGAAGGCAGGAAAGGGGGTTCATGTGAAATCTCCTTGTGTGAATATTGGCTCCGGGTACATTTTCCCGCCTCGTGGGGCTGCCAGGGGGTGGCCCTGCCGGAAGAGCCTGCCCGCCATGTGTGCCCAGCGGCCAGTCAAGGGTAGTGCCCTCCTGGCCACAGGTCCCAGCCACTGGCCATAGTCGCCAACCTTTCGGACCTCACAAACCACCTGTGATCTGCGGACCACCGGTTGGCGCACTCCTTTGCCCTGATTAGCTATCAGCACAAATTCCAGGACGATGATCAGACTCGCGTGAAAGGCTCCGTGAAGTGAGTGCTGGCCCCTGACCCGGAGCCTGCCCACGGGGTCTGCATGGGGAGCTGGTTGGGGGAAGAGCCCGCTCTGTCCACCTGTCACATGTGACATTCTCAAGCGCCTCCTACCGAGAGGCGGTGGGACTCACTCCTGTGGGGGCCCAGGGGTTGAACTGTGACGACCAACTGTCCTGGCCTGGTTCTGTCCGCTCCCTGTGGGTGGTGGCAGGGCGGGCTGCGGGTGCGGGACCCACCCTGTTGTGATGACAGTGCCGTCTGCGCCCTCAGGGCAGGCTTCTTCGGGACGGTGGTGGAGTACGGGGCCGAGAGGAAGATCTCCAGGCACAGCGTGCTGGGGGCCACTGTCAGCATCGGCGTCCCACAGGGCGTGTCTCTCAAAGTCAAGTAAGTGGACTCGGGTACCTGTGACCACAGGTCACCTGGCTTCTGTGCTCACTGGGCTCTACCCGTGAGGGATGGAACGGATTTCACTTGCTAATGTTCTCAAAGGAGCGGTTGCCCCTTCTGTCTTTGGTGTTGAAGCAGATGTCAGGGAGCCCATGACCTGCCTTCAGTTAGTGAGGTCCGGCTTCCACGTCTGCGCCTCTTGCTGCCCCTGCCTCCCTGGCGGCCTGGACACCTGGCCGGGTGCCGGCTCCGTGCCCCCCTCACCGACACCACACGCGCCTCCAACGTCCTCGGCAGCCCAGGCAGCGGCGGTTGTCCCTCTACACCGGCCCTTCCTGCCCCTCTGCTGCCTCTGGCTCTACCTGGCCAGTTGCTTCTGATCACAGGCCTGAGAAATGGCACCTCGCACTGCCCTCCTGTGTGTGACTGTGAGTGACTGGGAACCCTGATCGGCCTTCACACAGACACGGGCTGTTACAGTGTAAGGCCGCGGAGGCCGCCCTTCTGCGTAAGCCCAGGCACTGCCCCCGTGGGGGCAAAAGCCAGCGTCCTGGGCTCCTGCGACCCCCCGTCTGGCTGATAAGTACTTCACTTTTCAAAGAACCAGATTGTGGCTTTGCTCATTTTCTCTACTGTTGGCCTGTTTTCTGATTCACTGGTTTCTGATTTTATTTCCTTTCTACTTATTTTGGTTTGATTGGCTCTTCTTTTCCCATCTTTTTAAGGTCAAGCCTTAGAGTATTAATTTCAGACTTCTCTTTTGTTGTTAATCCTCACATATTTTCATTGACTTTTTTTTTAGAGAGACTGGAAGGGAGGGAGGGAAGAAGGGAGACACACCAATGTGAGAGGCGTCCATGCTGACGCTGCGTCAGTCGTGTGCTTTCGATTGCTGTGCAGCATCACGTTGTGTAGATGTCCGCAGTCGGTCTGTCCATCAGTTTGGAGATGTTTCCATTGGCTCAGTGATGAGCATGATTCCCCGTCAAGGGCACATGCCCGGACTCCGGGCTCCATCCCTAGTGTTGAGGGGCGTGCAGGAGGCAGCCAGTCAGTGATTCTCTCTCATCATTGATGTTTCTATCCCTTCCTCTCTGAAATCAATACAAATAGATATTCTTTAAAAAGACGTTTCCATTGTGTACAGTTTTGATGACTACAGAGCCCGTACAGGCATTCACGCTCGGTTTTGTAGGACAGTGAGTTTGATTTCTCGTGGGCGAACAGGCCTCTGGGAGGTGTGCGCTTACCTTACAGCAGAGTGCCGGCCTCCTCCGGAGCGGAGCTTTTTTTTTTTTATTTTTTTAAATATATTTTATTGATTTTTTACAGAGAGGAAGGGAGAGAGATAGAGAGTTAGGAACATCGATGAGAGAGAAACATCGATCAGCTGCCTCCTGCACATCTCCCACTGGGGATGTGCCCGCAACCCAGGTACATGCCCTTGACCGGAATCGAACCGGGGACCCCTCAGTCCGCAGGCCGACGCTCTATCCACCGAGCCAAACCGGTTTCGGCCGGAGCGGAGCTTTTACTTCACTCTCCCAGCAGCAGCGCCAGCGTTCCAGTTGTTCCGCGTCCTCACTGGCCTTTGGATACGGTCTGCATTTTGCATGCCTGAACACTTAATTTTTAAGTGTTCTTTTTCTGGAGCTACTTTTATTTTTGAAGGGTGTTGTCCTGGACATGGAATCAGGGTTTTCTCTCAGCACTCGAAAGGTGATGTTCTGCTTGTCTCCTGGCCTCCGTGTCTCCGATGGAATCGTTCACCATTGGGACCTGCGTATAATGTCTGTTTTCCTGGCTCCTGCACTTTTGTTTTGCTTGTTTTTCAGCAGTTTGACTGCCATGTACTCGGTGCGGCTTTGTTGTGTCTGTGCTGCTTGGGCTTTGGTAAACCTTACGCATTTGTAAACTTAGGTGCTACATCAGATTTGGTGTTTTTAGGCCATTAAGTCTGCAAATGCTTATTCCTGCCTCGTTCTCTCTGCTCTTTGGGCCCTAATCACTTGTGTATTAGATCTCTCTCTTTCTCTCTCTTTTTTTTTTAAATATATTTTTATTGATTTTTTTACAGAGAGGAAGGGAGAGAGATAGAGAGCCAGAAACATCGATGAGAGAGAAACATATCCAAGAGAGCGGCCATCGCTCCTCACTTCTTTTTGTTTTTGGCAATCCTCACACAAGGATATTTTGAGGATATTTTTTCCATTGATTCTCTTTTTTTAAGAGAGTGGAAGGGAGGGGAAGAGAGAGAGAGAGAAACATTTGGTGTGAAAGAGCCACATTGATTGGTTGCCTCCTGCCCGTGCCCCAACAGGGGCTGGGGATCAAACCTGCGACCCTTCCGTCCGCAGGCCAGTGCTCTATCCACTGAGCCACACCGGCGAGAGCTGTATTAGATCTCCTGCTGTTCCCGGGGGTTCCTGAGCCTCTGCCCATTTGGCTTCGGTCCTTTCTCTCTTTGTTCCGCCCACTGAATAGTTTCTGTTGGTCCATTTACAAGGACACTGGCTCTTCTCCTCCACTGGAGTCCGCTGTTGGGCCCAGGAGCCGCCCAGTGAATGTGGATGCTGTGAGCGTAGTTAAAACCTAAACCCTCACCTGTGCCCGAGCTGGTTTGGCTCAGTGGATAGAGCGGCGGCCTGCAGACTGCAGGGTCTCAGGTCCAGTTCCACTCAAGGGCCGTGTGCGGGAGGCAACCAGTGTTAGCCAGTCAGGTGGTACGGATGGGAGGTGCCCTCAGGCTAAAGCTGGGGGACAGGAAACCGGCTCCATTCTCCCAGCGCCAGCCTCTTTTGCCCTCTGGTACCTGACCGTCTACCTGAGGGATGATCGGCCCAGTGAGAGCTGCTCAGCCGTGGCTGGAAGCAGAACTCCTTAGCTTGCTCACTTCGGGTGTCTGCACACACTCGGACCGGTGCACTGAGGACTGAGATGTGGCGCTGTCCCCAGGACACCGGGAAGAGTGTCCACTCCTGCCTCCTAAGGCCACACCTGCTCTGGTCAAGCGTTAGTCTGTGGCTTTGCCCTTGAGGTCAGCAGGCGCTGGCTTCCTTCTGTCACATCCACCAAGTCCCGCAGCTAAGCTTTGGACGGGGGTCCAGCACAGGAGAGGGGCTCCTCCCACCTGGCGTTCGGGGTCTCAGAGGCTCTCTCCCTGGGGCTGAGACCCCGTACCTTCCCTGGAAACCTGACTCACCTTCCACGTGCTGTTTTGTTTTTGTTTTCAGGTTAAATAGGGCCAGTCAGACTTACTTCTTCCCTATTCATTTGACGGATCAGCTTCTTCCCAGCGCCGTGTTCTACGCCACCGTGGGGCCCCTCGTGGTCTACTTCGCTATGCACCGTCTCATCATCAAGCCATACCTCAGGGCTCAGAAGGAGAGGTGAGTTTCAGATGCGTCACGGGGACGTCACTAAACAACTCTGTGCCTCAGTTTCCTCGACTTTCCAATGGAGATGATACTAACAGGACCCACCCCACATTTCTATCAGGAAAAATATTTAATATGTGCAAAATGTTTAGCATGGGTCCAAAATAAGTCGTCAGTGAGTGATAGCTATTCTAGAAGTGCTGTTCTTATCCTTCGTCATTCATTCCTACTTTCAGAAAGGACTAGATGGTTTACAAAATTGTTGAGACTTTAAACCAGGGGTTGGGAACGTCTAGCCCGCAGGCCATGCAAGGCCCTCGAAATCACTTGGTCTGGCCTGCCAAGGCTTTAAAGGTGCCTTCATCAGGGAGGTCAGGGTCCTGACTTCCCAGGAGGCTTGAGGCTGAAACAGCATGTGCTGGGTCGAGGCTTCTAACGGGACAGGTGTGTGCTGCCCGGGGCCCCAGAGCGTGGCCGAGGGGAGCGTGTATATATGGATCTGAAGGCGTGTGCGCGTCCTTCCCAGAATGTCATGTGCTAATCCCCGAAGGTTGGCGTCTCCTGTGATGCACCTGCTCTGACCTCCCACGTCTCTGAGTCACTTCAGCTGAGTCTTCTCTCCACGGGGACTGGCAGTGGGTTTCCCGTCCGCTCCGGCAAGGAGGCGGGGAGCCATCCGGGGACACGGCGAAAGCTGCACGGGCCTCTGACTAACAGATTTGCCTGAGATTGTCTTGGAAATATTTTTAAAGTTCTAGGACTAGGAATGCAGTAAGATCACAGACTGTTTGCTGGGCACAGGTCCAGCGAGGGGTAACACCACGCTAATGTGTGGCTGTGTTTTTGTCGCATAAGGGAATTGGAAAAGCAGAGGGAAAACACAGCTACCGACATCCTGCAGAAGAAGCAAGAGGCAGAGGCTGCGGTGAGTGCCGTCGGTCCCCCGACGTCCTTCTGCTCGGCGTGCTCTGAGCGCTGCGTGCAGCACGCTCTCTCCTCTGGCCTCCGGGCCCCGGGTCCTTCCCCCGGCCTCAGTCCTCAGGCCTGGGGCTCGGGCTGCTTCCCGCCGCTGCACTCGCCCTGCAGTCCTTATATCGCCACTGGCGTGTGCTTCCGGGAGCTGCAGGCCCAGGTCCAAGGGTGAGACTTGTAGCAGGTGTTGTTGTCACGTGGTGGGTGGTGCCCCCGCTCCCTTCCCCTCACGTGACTTGTTTTACGTGACGTCACAGAGCCGTCCAGGATAAGTGACCGCACCGCTTGGTCCCTGTGGACAGGGGAGGCTGTGTCTCTGAACAGAGGCGGGGCCCGGCGATGGCCCTGATGGCCGCCTGCCCCGTTCTTTGCAGGTTCGGTTGATGCAGGAATCTGTCCGAAGAATAATCGAGGCAGAAGAATCCAGAATGGGTGAGAAGGCACGGCCGCTCCTGGGACAGGGTGGGCGAGGGGGATCTCAAAGGAGCATCCCGCTCCTGCAGGCCAGCTGCGGGTGTCAGCCGGCCCCTCCCCCCATACACTCTGACTGAACCCGTCCTCAGGCCTCATCATCGTCAACGCCTGGTACGGGAAGTTCGTCAACGACAAGAGCAGGAAGAGTGAGAAGGTGAAGGTGATCGACGTGACGGTGCCCCTGCAGTGCCTGGTGAAGGACTCGAAGCTCATCCTCACAGAGGCCTCCAAGGTACAGCGCCAGCCCCACAGGACTGACAGGCTTCTGGGGACAGTGGCCACTGGGAACGGCCATATGGCCATTTCATCGCCTCAGAGACCTGCCCAATCTCATACCCAAGTTATGTCCACGTTGGAGCAATTTACTTCACGCTTTCATCCATCCATTCACTCAGCAAGTACTTACTAAGCACCTACTATGTGCCAGTCACAATAGCAAACAAAACCCCGCTGCTCCCTGTCAGGGGCGCCCAGCATTTTCGGTCTCCCTCCTTTCCCCGGCGCATTTCCTTGGCCTTTCCCTCTCCTGAGCTCCAAGGGCCCTTCCTTTGCTTCTGTCACGTGTTTCCTGAGCCTAGGCCATACCTCTGTGCTTTCTAAATGAGCTTTCTCTTAGAATTTGAAAAACAAAACAAAGTGTCCATCCTGCCTTCGTGGAGCCTGCCTGCTGCTCACTGCTTGCCTCGTGCCAGAGGCGTGTGCGGTCACCAGCACAGCCGAAGCTCACGCTGGAGCCTGGGGTGTGGACAACGAAATTGAATTAAAGTTCAGATTCACACCCTGGCCTGCGTGCACAGTGGTTAGGGCATCAGCCAGCACACCGGAGGGTCGTGGGTTTGATTCTCGGTGAAGAGCACGGACCTGGGTTGCAGATTCAATAATTAGTCCTGGTCCTGATCAGGGTGTGTCATTGGGAGGCAACCAATCGATGTGTCTCTCTCATATTGATGTTCTCTCTCTCT